AAGAGGAGGAGGGGTAGGAGGGAGGAGGAGGAGGAGGAGGAGGAGGAGGAGGAGGAGAGGAGGGAGGAGGAGGAGGAGGAGGAGGAGGAGGGGGAGGAGGAGGAGGAGGAGGAGGAGGAGGAGGAGGAGGAGGAGGAGGAGGAGAGGAGGAGGAGGGAGGAGTGAGGTGGAGGAGGAGGAGGAGGAGGAGTAGGGGAGGAGGAGGGAGGCGGAGGAGGAGGAGAGGAGGAGGAGGAGGAGGAGGAGGGAAGGGAGGAGGAGGAGGAGGAGGAGGAGGAGGAGGAGGAGGAGGAGGAGGAAGGAGAGGAGGAGGAGGAGGAGGAGGAGGAGGAGGAGGAGGAGAGCAGCAGGAGGGATGAGGAGCAGGAGGGAGGAGGAGGAGGAGGAGGAGGAGGGAGGAGGGAGGAGGAGGAGGAGGAAGAGGAGGAGGAGGAGGAGGAGAGGAGGAGGAGGAGGAGGAGGAGGGAGAGGAGGAGAGGAGGAGGAGAAGAGGAGGAGGAGGAGGAGAGAAAGGGAGGAGGAGGAGAGGAGGAAGAGGAGGAGGAGGAGGTGGAGGAGGAGGAGGAGGAGGCGAGGAGGAGGAGGAGGAGGAGGAGGAGAAGGAGGAGAAGGAGGAGGGGGGAAGGGGGGGAGGAGGAGGAGGAGGAGGAGGAGAGGAGGAGGAGGAGGGAGGAGGAGGAGGAGGAGGAGGAGGAGGAGGTAGGAGGAGGAGGAGGAGGAGGAGCAGGAGGGAGGAGGAGCAGGAGGGAGGAGGAGGAGGAGGAAGGAGGAGGAGGAAGGAGGAGGAGGAGGAAGACGGGTCACCTAAGCCCTTCGGAGAAAACCCTCCACAGGGCACCTTGACCGCGGAGGCCAAAAACGTCTCCACGACAAACGACCCTCGACGACGGGACCCCGGGGGCGCCTCGCGGGCGCGCGGCGGCGACCGCGACCTCTCCCCGCCGTCGCCGCCATCGCCGCGCGACATCGCCGCGCGCCGGCGAAGCCGCCAAGGCCGCCGCGCGCGCGCGCGCACCCGCGCGCCTGACAAAAACTTGCGGCGAGGCCCCCATCCCTGTCTTTCTGATGTTATACATAAATGTAAATGTAAACATGTATATGTACGTATGTGTATAGATATACAAATACGTATATACATTCATATATATATATGTCTATATATACACCTACATGCATATACATACAAATACATTATATATACATACATAGATACACAAAGCTGTTGTGTATGTGTTCCCCCTGTCAAGGATCGAGACAGGGAGGCCCCCCCCCTATCTCGATCCCCAGGCATCCGACGCGCGGGGGCCGCACCAGCGACGTCGGGGCGGAGAAACTCGGACTCCAGGTCCCGCCGCGTCGCCGAGGCCTCGACCCCCACCTGCACACCCCAGCCCACTCTGGAGGGGTTCGGTGCCGTTGGGGTCCGTGGCCCCGAAGAGGCATCAAAACTGCATCTACAAGGCCCCCAGTGGCTTTCGAAGACACCCCAGCAGGCATCCAAGAGGCCTCTGACCCACAAGCACGGGCACGGTGGCCGGACGGGCCCAAGGCCATTACGATGTGTATATATATATATATATATATATATATATATATATGCATACACACACACTAGAACCATCGCGCGCGCTTCGCGCGCGCTCAAGTTCTAGCTAGTTTCTTGGGGCCTCCTCGGAGCATCCTGGACTGCTTCTTGAAGTCGTCATGGGACTTTTTGGCATGTCTTCGGGGGCCTCTTAGAAAGAGTTTTGAAGCCTTTTGGGTGCCGTCTTGGGGCCTCTTGGAGCCTCTTTTGGGCTTCTTGGGGGCCTCTTGGGGCCTCGTGGGGGCCTCTTGGGGCCTCTTGGGGCTTCCTGGGGGCATCTTGGTGCCTCTTGGGGGCATCTTGAGGCGGAGAGCTTGATTTTTCAATTCGCGTTCCCTCCCTTGGGCCCCTCTTGGGGCCTTCTTGGGACCCTCTTGCGCCGTTTTGGGCGGCTCTGGGGCTGTCTCGGGGCTCTCTTGGACCGTCTTGGGGCCCTCTTGGGGGCCTCTTGGGCCATCTTGAAGGAATTTTGGGAGCCTCTTGGGCGGTGCTCTACACCAGAAACGCGAAACAGCGAGAATGCAAAAAACATTCAAAAAATTAGCCTGGCGAAGGACCCAACCATATGCAGTTGTGAGTAATGCTGGTGTGAGTACCGTCTTCGGTGGATCTCCCTGTGGGGCCACGAACCGTTTGAGGGGTGTGCCGAAATGGGTGTGGGGGCGGCATGCGAACGTTGCCACTGGGGCCTTCGGTGGAGCTCCTTATGGGGCCACGAAACGTGTGAGGGGTGCACCGAAGTTGGTGTGGGGGCGGTGCCACTGGGGCCTTCGGTGGAGCTCCCACACGAAACGTGTGAGGGGTGTGGGGGCGGCATGCGAACGCAGCCACTGGGGCCTTCGGTGGAGCTCCCTGTGGGGCCACGAAACGTGTGAGGGGTGTGCCGAAATTGGTGTGGGGGCGGCCTTCGAACCAGGCCACTGTGGCCTTCGGTGGAGCTCCCTTATGGGGCCACGAAACGTGTGAGGGGTGTGCCGAAATGGGTGGTGGGGAGGCATGCGGACCCTGTCACTGGGGCCTTCAGTGGAAATCCCCATGGGGCCACGAAACGTGTGAGGGGTGTGCCGAAATGGGTGTTGGGGAGGCATACGAACCAGGCCACTGTGGCCTTCGGTGGAGCTCCCTATGGGGCCACGAAACGTGTGAGGGGTGTGCCGAAATGGGTGGTGGGAGGCATGCGGACCCTGCCGCTGGGGCCTTCGGTGGAGCTCCCTATGGGGCCACGAAACGTGTGAGGGGTGTGCCGACATGGGTGGTGGGGAGGCATGCGGACCCTGCCACTGGAGCCTTCGGTGGAGCTCCCTATGGGGCCACGAAACGTGTGAGGGGTGCGCCGAAATGGAGGTGGAACCGCATGCGGACCCTGACACTGGGGCCTTCGGTGGAGCTCCCTATGGGGCCACGAAACGTGTGAGGGGTGCGCCGAAATGGAGGTGGAACCGCATGCGGACCCTGCCACTGGGGCCTTCGGTGGAGCTCCCTATGGGGCCACGAAACGTGTGAGGGGTGTGCCGAAATGGGTGGTGGTGAGGCATGCGAACCCTGCCACTGGGGCCTTCGGTGGAGCTCCCTATGGGGCCACGAAACGTGTGAGGGGTGTGCCGAAATGTGTGGTGGGGAGGCATGCGAACGCAGCCACTGGGGCCTTCGGTGGAGCTCCCTATGGGGCCACGAAACGTGTGAGGGGTGTGCCGAAATGGGTGGTGGGGAGGCATGCGAACGCAGCCACTGGGGCCTTCGGTTGAGCTCCCTATGGGCCACGAAACGTGGGATGGGTGTGTGCCGAATGGGTGGGGGAGGCATTGCGGGACCCTGCCACTGGGGCCTTCGGTGGAGCTCCCTGTGGGGCCACGAAACGTGTGAGCGGTGATGTGCCGAAATGGGTGGTGGGGAGGCATGCGGACCCTGCCACTGGGGCCTTCGGTGGAGCTCCCTATGGGGCCACGAAACGTGTGAGGGGTGTGCCGAAATGCGTGGTGGGGAGGCATGCGGACCCTGCCATTGGGGCATTCGGTGGAGCTCCCTTATGGGGCCACGAAACGTGTGAGGGGTGTGCCGAAATGAGTGGTGGGGAAGCATGCGGACCCTGCCACTGGGGCCTTCGGTGGAGCTCCCTATGGGGCCACGAAAACGTGTGAGGGGTGTGCCGAAATCGGTGGTGATGATGATGATGGTGATGGTGATGGTGATGGTGATGGTGATGGTGATGATGATGATGATGATGATGATGATGATGATGATGATGATGATCATGATAATGATGATGATGATGATGATGATGATGATGATGATGATGATGTCAGGCTCCATAGGGGGGCTGGGTGCCTTGCGTCAGCAACTCTCGAATTGCCCTCTTCCTCTTGGCTACTGTTCGGGCCCTTGCCCGCATCAGAGCCTCGACCCTGCTAGGGCCAGCTTGGGTCGGTTGAGAGCGCAGAGTGTTATACGTCGAGAGCAAAAGATCATGCACAAGAACGGCACCATGCACGGCTCTACAGGACAGCATAGGAGGCCTCAACAGCAAACGATCAATAGCATTCCACTCGAGGAAGTCAGGCGGCAGCGACGGAATGATCTTAGGAAGAAGTGGCAGCGGCACAGGGCACTGAAAATAGTGGGAAATGTGGTCTGAGTCGGCAGCACCGCAGCCCAGGACGCAGCAGCGGTTCCCTGATCGAAATCTGGCCGACGTGGGCCAGGCATTACAAATAGACTTGAGGAGAGAGGAGGCAACGAAGGGGGCTTGTTTGGTAGCGGCGTTTAAAATGGCTCGAAAAATAAATTCGGCGTGGCCCATGGGGGCCTCACTCCAGAACTTCCGAATCCTTGGGAGGAGAAGGGTAGGCATTGATGGGCGGCCCATGTTCTCGGCAACGGCAATCTTGACTTTTCGCTGGACATCGTGCGTGTATTCATTGATCGACGGGCAAATCGTCATGAGCTCGTCCCAATTCTTGATCAGGGAGCCGCAAATAGACTCTGCGAGCCAAGACCTGTGCCGAACAACAGCCAGTCGTTCGACGTCTTCGTGCTCTAGAAAATGCAGGCGTTCCTTCACTCTAGCGAAGGCTGAACTCTGAAGAGCGACCCGAAACATAGCGGCCTTGTTCGTGGCCTGGAGGTGGCGGGGCTCGACTGGGAACCCAAGGTCCAGGGAGGCCTTGAGGACAAGGGTGGGGATGGCGAACCTAGGGCCCATGGTCAGCCTTTGAAGAGCGTTCGCTTCGGCTCGAATCACCTCGGGCCTGACCGGCAGTACCTGCATCATGTACGTCAAGATCGGGAAAGCTAGCGAGTTGTAGGCATAGATGTTCTGAACTAAACCGAGCTTCAGCGTCTTAATGTGCCCGACCCTGGAAAGATACTTGACCAGCACAGGATGCCACGAAGCCGCAGGCCCAGTAGGGCCGATCATCACCCCCAGATATTTCCCATGAGTGTCGACTTGGAAAGGCTTTATATTGATGCCCCACTTTTTGAATTCTTGATTAAGCTCGGTTCTATCGAACTTCGCGCCAATGACAATCACGATGATGATGATGATGATGATGATGATGATGATGATGATGATGATGATGATGATGATGATGATGATGATGATGATGATGGGAGGAGGGAGGGGGGGGAGGAGGAGGAGGTGAGGAACGCGGGGCGCCGTCTCTTCAAAACGAGGACCCAACACCACAGGATGGTTGGGAACAATGGAAATCAACGATGTTGCCCTCTCGGGGCGCTCTTGGGCGGCATATTAAAAGCCTCTTGGGGCTTCTTGGGGGCCTCCGGGGCAGTTTAAAACGCATCGTGCGTCGCCAGAGACCCCTGGACGGCGTCTTGGGGGTGTCTCGAGACTGCCTGGGGCCGCCGGGATTGCTGTCTGAGGGCTCCCAAGGCCGATTTTAAGCCTTCCAGAGGCGGGCCCGGGCCCTGGTCCCCACATTTGTGGTCGAGGTTCCGGCCCTCGGCCACCGAGCCCGGTGCGCCGTTATATGTGTACAGGTACATACGTATACCCGTTGAAGTACGTGTATATATATAGATAGATATACATATGTGAACTACCCTCTGTATACACACAATTACGTATGTACAGATGCATCGACTGATAGAGATGTGGGTCGACCCACTCGTCGCAAGGCAATGATGAGTGGGCAGAATGATGTGCATATGCAGACACACATGTATGTGAGCCAGTCCTGTGCATAAAATGTGTATGTGTATGTCTCGTTGGGAACACGTGTGTGTGTGTGTGTGTGCACAGGCGTGTCCAGCCCTGCGCTGTGTTCAGCTTGGCGTCGGACTCCGACAAATGAATGTGAATACCGTGCTGTTTTCATGAGCATGTCTATCTTCCGCCCGATGCGGAGGAAAGGCGGGGCGGAGTGCCCCGACTCCTGCTGTTTTATCCTGCGCTGGAGGGGGAAGCGGAAGCACCCGCTCTCGTCATCGCCATCCTTCCGTCCCCTCTTCTGCAACCACGGTGGGGGAGAAAGACCTCAGCGCAGCGCGCGGGAATCCAGGCAACGGGCGGCGCGACTGCGCCGGGAACTCACGATTCCCTGGCCGGCTCAGGGAGCGAGCCACCATGCGGACGCAGCCACGGGGGCGAGTCACCGTGCGGACGTAGTCACTGGGGCCTCTGGCGGAGCTCCCTATGGGGAGAAAGGAAGGATGCCGCACCAGCCTTGTCCAGCCCGTCCTGTTTCTCCTTCTGCAGCTCCTGCATCCCCCCCTCCTCCCCCAAGGAGCAGCGGGGACGGATGTTCCTCCTCCTCCTCCTCCTCCTCCTTCTCCTCCTCCTCCTTCTGCCGCTGCTGCTCCTCCTGGTCCTTCTCGTCTCGGGAGGGAGGCGTGGAGGGGGGAAGAGAGGCGCTGGCCCTGGCAGGCTTGCCTCTCTCGTCATTCCCCTCCTGAGCAGAAAGAAGGAAAGACGCAGGGACCCCAGCATTCCTCAAGCGGCTCCTGCTACTCACAACCCTTCCTATTGAGAGCTAGGGGCGTTCCTTCCCCCGCTGGTCATCATTCACCTTCCTCCGCTGATCGTCGTTGCCCACAATGTGGACCCCAGGCGTCTGGACCCCTTCCTGGGAACTGGCTTTTCACGCCGAGCCGTTTTTACGACGCTGCCTGCGCTCGAAACAACCCCCAGGGGCAGAACAACGGTGAGACAAAACATCCGCCTTGACTGTCCCACTGTGTTGGAGGCATGGGAGTCGCGCCCTGCGCAGCTTCGCCAGCCAGGATGGAACAGAAAACCGTCGGCGGAAATCCCTCCCGCCGGTGCCCAGCCGGGTTCCTGGGGCCGCTTGGCGAGCCCAGCGCCGTCTCCGGGGTCCAGGTCGATCTCCGAGTCCGACAAGGCGCCCTGCGCGGCGGCGTCGTCGCCGCCGCCGCCGCCGTCGTCGTCAGGGGGGGGGGAGGGGACGGTTATCGGAACATGTGCTACATGTGTCTGGGGTGTCCAAGCTTCCGGGGGGAAGCGAGGGATGACGAGGAGGAGGGCAAGGCGGAGGCGGAGGAGGAGGAAAGCAAGGGACGAAGGAAGAAGAGGGTTGGCGGAGAGGGTCAGGGACAGCACAAGGAGCAAGAGAGGCGAGGGCCAGAAGACCGAGGGGGAGGCGCGACAAAGGCGCAAGCACGCACGAGCGCAGCACGCCCGAGAAAGTGGGCCGCCCCGCACTGGGAAGAACCCGTTGGCAACAAGAGTCGTGGCGTTCCCATCGTACTGAAGGACCACATCCGGATGTCACATCCCAAAAACCACCTCGAGCACCCCGAGAAGTATCGAAGCAGTGTCGGCTCGACACGCTGGCGAAGTGTCGGACGAGTCTCGCCTCCCGGGGCCCAGCACGCGAAAGCCCGCCAGTTTCGGTACTCCCCTGGTGCTCGACAGTATTGCTGGTGGTCGAGGCTAAAATACGCTGGAACATCCTAGAACAAGAGCTAGTTGAAACCGACCACGTTACAGGGCTGGGCGAAGGGCTGCTGGGGAAACCAACAAGTACCGATACCGCTACTCCCCAGACCTCTCCTGGGGTGCGTTCTGACCAGAATCTCGAGGCGAATCCAGCGGTGACGACGAGGGCCTCCGAGGAGGCCCGAAAAAGGGGAAAGCAGCGAGGAAAGGGTAGAGGTATGGATACCTGTTCCTCCTCGGAGCTGTGGGAGAGCACCGCCAACGGCGAAGCCGCGGCCGCTGCGGCCGACGCCGCAGCGACGGCGGCAGGCGCAAGCCAGGAGCGCCGTTGCGTGGGCAGGGGAGCAGTCCCGTCGGGCCAAAGGACCCGCGGGGGTCCGCGGAACGGGCCACGGCGGGCCAGGGTGAGCGAACGCGACGTGGTGTGCTGGCAAGGGCCCTTTCGGGCTGAGTCCGCTCCTGCTCCCGCCTCCACCTCGCCCTCCTCCGCCTCATCCTCTCCTCTCCTGCTCCTCCGCTCCTCCTCCTTCCTCTCCTTTCTTCCTCCTTTCCTCTCCTCCTCCTCCTCCTCCTGGCTATTCTCCTCCTCATCCTCCTCTCCTCCTCCTCCTCTCTCCTCCTCCTCCGCTCCGCCTCATCTCATCCTCCTCCTCCTCCTCCTCCTCTCCTCCTCCTCCTCCTCCTCCTCTCCCTCCCCCTCTTCCTCCTCTACTCCTCCTCATCCTCCTCCTCCTTCTCTCCTCCTCCTCCTCCTCTCTCTCTACTTCCACATCTCCTCCTCCTCATCCTCCTCCTCCCCCCCCCCCCCTTCTCTCCCTCCTCCTCTCCTCCTCCTTCCTCCTCTACCTCCACCGCCTCGCCGCCCGCCGCCTCCTCCTCCTCCTGCTCCTCCTCCGCCTCCTCCTCGTTCTCCTCCTCCGCCTCTTCCTCCTCCTCATCATCATCCTCATCCTCCTCCTCCCCGCCCCATGGGAGAAAACCCTGCCAGAGTCACGACAAGAAAGAGGCCTGCCGCGATGCAGATGGTCAGCACGCACACGTGCCTGAGTCTAGCTGTCCTCCCCCTGGAGGGGGGAGGCGTCGTCGTCGTCGTCGTTGTCCTGCCAGCGGGCAACCAAACGGCGCCAGCTGTGGAGGCCACCTTGGCAGACGCACGGCGCGCAGCAGCCACCACCACCACCACCACCACCACCTCTCCTCCTCTCCCTCCTCCCTCCTCCTCTCCTCCTCCTCCTCCTCCTCCCTCCTCCTCCTCCTCCTCCTCCTCCTCCTCCTCCACCCCAGGCACCGCCCGCGTGCTGCCCCCCTGGAGGGAGAGGGTGAAGCGCAGCGCGAGCCGAGCCGCCACGAGGGGGGCGGCCACCTCCCCTGCGGCGTCAGCCGCCCGCTCGGCTGGGAAGGCAACAGCGCTGCCACCCGCGGGGTCCCACCATCACCGAGGAGATGGAAGCGAAGGCCCTGCTCGGTGCAGCGGCGGGCGACGCATTACGTCTTCGAGGAGGGATGCAGGCCGCAGGCCGCGCGAGTCCGTCGGCCCGCCGGCCGACGGGCCCCTGGGGAGCGGCGCAAGTGAATCAGAGTCCTCCCGTACCCGCGGTGACTCTCAAAACTGTCCCACAAACCGTAATTTGAGGCATGATGCTACCACGTCTCGATCCCAACTGTTGTCGTACGCAGAAGCTGTGAAATACCGTCGTGCCACCGTGTGCGCTATTCGCCGTGTTGGTGGTGTGCTGCCCCTAGATCTCAGGCAGCCAAGCGGGCCCATCTGAAATGCGGTTGCGGTGCAACTCCCCGTGCCCATCGCCGCTTGCGCTTTGCAAGGTGCTCCATTCCACCACGCGTGCACGATTGGCAAGGTCTGCTGCTGCATGTGCAGCTCTGCGTAGGAAACTCTCGCAAAGCTCCAGGTCGGAGAGTCGCCGTCGTCGTCGTCACCGCCGCCGAAAGCAAGGTGCCTCCTGGTGTCGAGCACGCTGCCGTCGCTTGCGCTGTTGTCGTGTTTTGCTCAGAGTCGGAGCTTCCGGCGCCGTCCGCGGTGCTCGTGTGCTGTGGCCTCCGCTGGCGCCTCGGGGGGTTCACAAGGAATCGTGCAGCATGCCTCGCTGGACACGCTGGAGTCTCCGAAGCATGTCAGTGGTGAGTGCTCACGGTGTGCCACCGTACCGGACCGTTGGCGGCACGTCTCTGCTGTGTAAAGAGGGAACCTAGCGATTTTGGACTCGTCACGGAGCCGTGGTGGCGGTGCCAGTCTGGTGGTGCATCCCGCGCGATGGAATTCGTGGAGTGTGAGTGTGTGGCCAAGGTAATTGGTGCTCTGCTCGTCGCTGAGTGTCTCAAATACATTGTCGTCGATGCCAGGTTGTGCGATAGTTCGCCCTTTACCGCCTGCTAGCATATGTGAGGATGTTGTTGTTATTGGGGTGTAGCTCGAGTCCACATTGGGAAACTGCGCGTTTGAGATCTCGTAAAACACACTTCAATTGCCGCAGGTTGCGGTC